TGTGTCTGTGTTAATTGGTTTCCCTTTTCTTTGTTGAAGAGGGTCTGTGCAATCCTTCTGCCTAGTCCGCCATCTTGCCAGAACTCCCCTAGTTAACTTTTAAGTCATCCTTTAACTTTCATCATTTCCTCAAGGACACCTTCTCTGACCAATCATATGCTCCTATAGCACTCCGGGTAATTTAAATGGTTAAGCACTGGCCTACTAAACAAAAGGTTGGTGGTTCAAACCCTCTCAGAAGTCAGACCTGGCAATCTGCTTCTGAAAGGTCACAGCCTTGAAAACCCTGTGGAGCAATTCTCTGCACACTTTGGGTCACCATGATCAGAATCAACTTGACAGCAACTAACAACAGACAACATAGCACCACATAAACTCTGCTTAACATCATTTATGGCAGGTGGAATGTTATGTCTGTTCTATGCTGGTTTCCGTTGAAGCTCCTTCAATGTAGACACCATGTGTCTGTTTTTGCTTTTTACATGGATGGCATTACCAAAACCTGGCATTCTGACTCTCGTGTAATAGGTTCTCAGATTATTTACTGAAGGAGTAAGTATGAATAAATGAAATCCATCACCAAGTCCAATTGATGTCACTTCCAAAATATCTCTAGAATCCATTTATTTCTTTTCATCTTCCCTGCTGGTCCAAGCCACCATCATCTCTAGTCTAAATTCTTCACTGGTCTTCATGATCTCCCTCTTGTTCCTCTCCAAACAATTGTATTAATTGCATCCAGAGTGATCTTTTAAAAATACAACTAATAAGTCATTCTTCTGTTCAAAATCCTTCAATGTCTTCCCCTTGTTCTTAGAATAAAGTTCAGTCACCTTACCACTCGCACCAATTATACTGCCTGCCTTTCTCCTGCTCAAATATGCCAAGCCCTTTCCAGGTTTTGGGCTTCTGCACTTACTGTTCCTTTTGCCTAAAACGCTATTTATGTGACATATTTTTCAGGGATCAGCTAAAATGTCACATTGTATATAGTTTTTTCTTGACTATCTATTTCAAGTAACCTCAGATACACTCATTGCCCTATTTATTTCCCTTTTGTACTGCCACAATCTATAATTAAAAAAAAAAATTACTTGGCTGTGCTCTACATTCCCCATGGTAACGAATTCTGTCTATTCTATTCACTGTATCCCCAGTGTTTAGTTCAAAATGAGTTCAAAATAAATGACTGAATCATACTGTAGTTGCCATCCTCTAAGATGGGTCCCCAGTGATCCTCAACTCCTGGTATTCATGTCTTTGTGTAATCCCATCCCACACTGAATCAGTGTTGGCTGTGTGTAACTAGCAGTATGCATCTGAAGTCACATTGTAATTCTCAAGGCTAGATAATAAAAGGCATTGTAGTTTCCACATTAGTCTCTTGGATTACCCTGGGAGAAGCCCACTGCCATCCCATCAGGACACGAAAGCAGCCCTATTGAAAGACCTCATGGAAAGACACTGAGACTCCAAGCCAACAGCCAACACCAACTTGATAACCATGTGAGTGAGCAACCTGGGAAGTGAATCCTGCAGCCCTAGTCAAGCCTTCAGATGAGTGCAGCTGGAAGTAGGTAAAGTATGGAAAGGCCTTGGTATGCTGTGCAATTGTTAAGACTTTCATGAATGGTGAACTGAGATGTCGTACTGGTAGAAGGTAAAGCATTGGCAATATCTTTAACCATTGGTTGCTATCAAGTTGATTCTGACTCATGGCAGAGTATAACTGTGTCAGAGTAGACTGTCAGAGTAGATTTTGTGTCAGAGTAGAACTGTGTTCGTAGGGATTTCAGTAGCAGAATTTCAGAGGTAGATCTTCAAACCTTTCTTCTGAGGCCTCTGGGTGAACTCAAACCTCCAAACATTGAGTTAGCGGTTGAGTGCAGGTCACATTGTAAGTGTTCCCAAAATCTTGGAATCTACTGATTCAGAAATCCCATCACTAACATAATTCATTCAAGTGACTAAAATTCAAAGTTCCAGTGATTATAGGAACACAGGTAATTAGTGAAGTGGTGTCCGTGTGTATACCCCGAGGATCCAATCTGTTAGGGAGCCTCTGTCCCTTTCTGTTCTCTCACACATGCCATAGAGAAATATACTATAATATTGAGAAATATGCTACAAAGGGAATCTTGAATTTCTGAAATATGCCTCCAAATGTCAAGTGCACTTGTTGTTGTTGTTGTTATGTGCCGTCGAGTTGGCCCCGACTCATAGCGACCCCTCCTTGGGTTTCCGAGGCAGTATCACTATGGAAGTAGGGTTGCCCAACCTTCCTTCCGAGGAGTGGCTAGTGGGTTTGAACCGCCAGCCTTCTGGTTAGCAGTCAAGTGCTTTAGCCACTATGCTACCAGAGCTCCCATCAAGTGCACTTACTCCTTCCTTATTGACTGTCTTATCTGACATTTTACATTTAGGACAGTAGTAAAAGATCTACTATCCATCTATTTTGCACATCTGGTAGTAACAAATGCCTGACAGTAACAAATGCCGAGGTGAGAGGTGGGAGAAATGCTGGCTATGAGAGTTAAGGTTATATGTCAACTTCACTGGGCCATGATTCTCAGTGGTTTGGCATTAAGTAATAATGCAGTCACCCTCCATTTTGTGATCTGATGTGGTCATGTCCCACTTCCATGTAACAGTGGTTTTTGAATAACAACCTGATCTTTGGAATATAACTAATCATGTCAATAAGTGAGGAGTAGGTATAATTGCCATAAAGTCATTTAAAATAAATAGAGTATCTGTGCTGGGGTGGGGGTCAGAAAACATTCCCTCAATAAGGATTTTGTTTTGGATGAAAGGCTTAGTGAAGAGTGGTCAGATTTGGGCCTGCTTCCTACTTAGGATATTTATGCATTTTCTTCTTTGATGTTCTGTATGCAGAGAAGTAGAAGTGGTGAAAGTAGGAACCTGGGAGCAACCTTCTAAATTTTCCATCCTGCCTTCAAGCACAAACCCCTCACCCCAACTTGGCTGGTCCCTGGAATGGCAAATACATAGGAGGTGCTGATCTAGGACACAGAAAAGGTTTTTTCTCAGAGTTAAGAGCATTGATTTCACTTACCAATCTTGTAAAATGGAAGAGAATAGTCTCTTTGATAAGTTGTTTCTTTATACCATGGTTCAGCAGGCTTTGAATATCTTTGAAAGCAAATATATCGAATGAGAGTTTGTTGGTCAAATTCAGGCCGATAGTGACTTTTTCCCTTGGATGGAATTGTCAAGTCTATGAGAGGTCTAAATGAAAATAGAAATAACTTGCTAAACACCCAGTAGAAAGAAAACACACACCATTGTCTGATTAGCTGAAATCCATTACCTGGAAGTTGTCTTAAGGCTAACAAGACAGTATGAGCAAGACTCCATAGCTCCTGGAGCAGTCCTAGCAAAGTTGTCAGTAGATGGTTCAAGGAAATCAGTGCCATTTTTCCTCCTCCCCAGTGCACAAACCACAGAGAGCCACCTTCATCCAACCTTCCACTGGATTTGACAAGATCTCACTGGTTCCCTTTCCCATTGTAATTTGTTGATGCATGTTTGGTTTTCTCAAGGGAATACTGCTTTCTTTTAACTAGACTAACCACTAACATGTGTCTCAGAGTTTGAAGTCAGTTTTAAGCTTCTTGTACCCCAACTCAGATTAGTACTCCTGAAGGTCAAAGTAAAGAAGAATGAAAATGTAATGATGAAATACTGTCATACACTTGTGGGAGCATATGTTGGTGCAATCTGTTTAAGAACAATCTGATGAAATGTATTAAGACCTTTAAAAAGTGCATATATTTTGTTCCAGCAATTCCAGCAATAAAAGATATCAACAAAGACAAACGTTCATCAAAGCATTTTTATGATAATAGAGTGGTTTCCAACCTTCATGTGAAAAATAAAATAAAATAAGGAATTCTTCAGATGGTGATACATAAGTATGTAGGAATGCCATGCTCCCATTAAAGAATTATAATTTTTGAGATGGAAAAAAGTTCAAAATACATTATTTATTTATAAAAAGGTTGCAATTGAATTGTATTTTAAATGGGTAGATTGTATGGTGTGTGAATTATCTTAATAAAGGTGTTACCAAAAAAAGAAGAAAAAGAAGGTTTCAAAATACTATTCCATCCTACTTTGGTGTAGATCTGGAAGATTCTGCATGATTATCTTTACGTGATGAGATTATGGATGATTTTTGATTCTTTTACAATTATCCATGTTTTCTAAATGTTCTAATAAAAAAAGCATTTTTAAAAAAAAAACTTTTAAGAGGCGGGGCAAGATGGCGGACTACGCAGAAGGATTGCACAGACCCTCTTCAACAAAGAAAAGGGAAACCAATTAACACAGACACAGA